ATCGTTTTTTGTTTATTTATCAAATTTTTACATGAGACGTTGTTACGCTCAAACATTTTGCTTTGTTTTGTTTTCGATCTTTTTTTTTTTTTTTTTTTTTGACAAAGTTCATTCAAATCGGCGACATTGATTCATCGTAATTATCATTCGTCCGTTAATTATTAATACGATAAAACCGGATACGGAAGAAAGAATAATAATTAATGTGGAGGGGGGGGGAAATCAAACGCAATTTTCCTATTTTTAAATAATGTCGGCCGTCGTCGTATGATTTTCTTATCGTTTCCGGTTTTGGGCAAAATTTTTTTTTTTTTATTATTATTTAAAGGTCACTCTCGACGTTCGTAGTAAGTTTTGTCGAAAATTTTTTTTTTTTTTTTTATATAAAAGAATTTCTTTATTTATTTTTTTTTTTATTTTTTTTTCCCCCGCGAAAACTTTGATCAATCAATCAAAAAAAAAAAAAAAAAAAAAAAAGAAACCGAAAACAATCGGAAACGCCTTCGCTCGAACAAACAAAGGAAAAAAAAGGAAAATTTGATATAACAATGAAATTTTCCTTTTTTTTTTTTTTTGATTTGTAACCACGTCGGTAAAGTGACCGCAAAAAAAAAAAAAAAAAAAAATTTGATTGCACAAAAAATGATTCATTCATAATAATGATGATGATAATCGTTACGATGATGATGATGATGATGATGTTTCGTAACGGTTTGGAAAAAAATTGAAAAAGGAATTTAAATCCTGCCAGGTTGAACGGGAAAAAAAAAGGACGCGGTCGTTCTCGGTTTTTTTCTAACGTTTCCCAACTTCCCCCTCCTCCAGGAAAAGACACGAAAAGATTTGGGATGCGGTGGTGATGTATCGAATGGGATGATTACATTTTCCTTTGAATTTATTAATCGTTTCCGGGAACGATTTAAATTAAGTCAAAGGTTTTCTTTTTTTTTTTTTTTTTTTTATAATTTTTATTTTAGTATCATTATCATTATTATTATTGTTATTATTATTAGTATTAGTCTCATCACGTTTTTGTATCAATGACGTCAAGGTCAATGATAAAAATAATTTTATAGAAAATTATTGTTGCGGTAGGTTAATTTCGTTAGGGAAATTTTTTTTTTTTTTTTTTTTTTCTTAAATAATATTTCCTAGTTTGAAAATTTCAATTGCGAAAAACGGAGTGGGAGGGGAAGGGGAAATCCGTTCGCGGACGTTTGTCAACATGGCGATGAAGTGTGTGAAATTTCCATTGGGGAAGGCAAGCGATTGGGGTTTTTTTTTTTTTTTTTTTTTTGTATTTACCGCGAACGAGGTGTCCGTGATGTGTATTTCCATTAACTAGTATTATAATTCACGGTCATTTATTCACATTTCCTCATTTAATGAGATGCAAATCGGGTTTTAATTAGTCTCGTTCCACGTTTCTACGTGTGAAGCGGTGTACGGAGAAAAACGAAAAAAATTCTAGGAAAAAAACCTTTAGAATTATGTCACCACCCCAGTTGTAAATTTTGTCGTGTAAGAAAAAAAAAAAATTTCACGTGCCACGTCGTTGTTTAATCGAACCGGATTCACGATCGAAGAAGATTCGATTTATAAATTAAAGATTTTGCGTGTGAGGAAACTCTCACGTGACACACGTAGGATGAATCCACCGTATAATTTTTCGAACGGGGGGAAAAATTAATAATAATAATAATAATGATCATTATGACGTCACGATGATTTCGATTGCTAAAAAAATTATTTTTTTATTATAAAATTGGGAAATGGTTGGTAGGGTAACCTTTGCCAAAAAAAAAAAAAAAAAAAAAAAAAAAAAAAAACGCGCGCGACAATGAAAAATCATTTTAATTGATTTTGTTTTGATGTGTGTGCGTGTGTGTTAAGTGAATGTAAGGCGTGTGTATGCGTGTGCGTAATATGCGTGTGTGAAGGATGAGGGCTTGTTAATTTTGTCTAAATCATTTAATTTTTTTTTTGTTATTTCATCTCTCTCTCTCTCTCTCTCTCTCTCTCTCTCTCACTTGTTGTTGTTGGCGACTTTACATTTTGAGATTTTCGTGACGTCATTCACCGTAGGAGATCGTTCATGGGGACTGGAAAAGCAGAAAAAAAAAAAACAATGGATGACGATGACGTTGTAAATTGTTAAAAACTAAATGATTTTTATTATTATTATTATTATTTTTTACTAGTCGTTACGAAATAATCGTGGTTGTAGAAATTGATTGAATTTATGACGACGGCGGTAAATTTTACGCATACGCAAAAAAAATGTGCGCGTACGTAAAAGGTTATTTACCACGTTAGGTATAAAAAAATAAAGGAGAGGAAAAGGAAATGAATGAATGAATGAATGAATGAAAAAAAAAATGGCGGTCGTGCATGCGATTTGATTTTTTTTTTTTTGAAATACGCTAAATTTAAATAAAATACGGATGAAAAAAAACTAATTATGAAATAATAAATAAATAAATAATTTTTTTTTTTTTTTTTACACTATATTAATAAATAAATAAAAATTTTATTATTATTATTATTAATAATATTAATAATGCCACTAATTAAAATCTACAAATTTAACAAACAAAATATATAAATTTTACACCTTTTTTTTTTTTTTTCTCGTTTCCGTCGTTAACGAGAGTTATCGAACAATTCGTTTCCGGTACATCGATCAGAAATGTCCGATAAACATCATTCGCATCAACAATTATTTTTATTACTATTTTTAAATTTATTATTATTATTATTATTATTATTATTATTATTATTATTATTATTATTACGATGAACGAATAATACAACGGATCGATCGATGAATGAACTAATCAATCAATCAATCAAAATCGTTTTTTTTTTTTTTTTAAATTTTTCTAACGACTATCGAAAAAATTATTAATAAATAAAGAATGAAAGAATGGAGAGGGGAAAAAAAACGATCACGTGTTTCGTTTTTTTTTTTTTTTTTCGTACAAATATTTTCTACGGGAAAATCTATAAAAAAAAAAAATTTAATTTTTCCGTCGATGATGATGAGGATAATAATAATAACTAAAATAATAACGAATTATTAATATCCGGTTTTAAAAATTATTATTATTATTAAACTACAAATAAAAAAAAATTACTAATTACGTGCTTTTACTATTTATATATATATATATTAAACGATTAATTTTAATTTTATTTTCAGGTTATTAAATGAATTTATTATTATTATTATTAACACTGAACGACGATGTGACTATGACGTATCGTGTGATGACGTCAGGGGAGAAAAAAAAAATGGAAAAGAAAATTTTTTCCGGATTTGAAATCGTTTGTTTTGTATATATTTGAAATTTTGCACGGCGATATTTGGTAAGTCTCATTTTAAAAATTTATTTAATTGGGTTTTATTTTTTTATTTATTTATCGTGGCAATAGTTAAATAACGGTCGTTTTATTTTTTTAAAAAAATAATTTCCGGGAATTATTAAATTTAATGGCGTCGTCGTTAAAACAAAAAATGATTTTCATTATTTACTTATTTGAATTTTTTTGTTTTTTTATTTCGAGATTTTGGCGTGAAATTTACGTGGCACGAGATTTTACGAGAAATTTTTTTTTTTTTTTCATGGAAAAATTTCCGTTTAAGTCTCATTAAAATATTATTATTATTATTATTATTATTATTATTATTATTATTATTATTATTATTATTATTGTTGTTGTTGTTGTTAATTGAGGGGGAAAAAAAATGTCGTGTCAAAAGAAATAATTTTTTTCGCTTGCTTTTTTAAAATCGTTTTTCATTAATACTCGGACGCCGCATTTGAAATTTTGGGGTTTGGAAAAAATTTTATTTGATTCGCTGGTGCCACGATAAAAAAATAATCGTAAGCGAAAAATTTGTGCGAAATGTTGAAAAATTATCAAGATTGTTTTACGTAAACATTTCGATTTTTTTTTTCTTTTTATATATTTTAACATTTAAACAAAATATAATAGCGAAAATAATAATAATAATAATAATAACAAAAATGGCGGACGGTCAATTTAATAAATTTTTTTCATCTCCGGTGTTTTAATGCAAAAAAAAATAGAAAAAAAAAAAAAATTATTCGCGATGGACGGTGCACACAAGAATATAATAAAAATTAATTTTAATTTTTAATTACGGGTACATTAATTCGATCGTGTCGTTAGACAAAATTTTTGAAAAAGAACGTACTAATTTGAAAAAAAAAAAAAAAAAAAAAAAAAAAAAACATACGAAAACTATTTAAAAAACATTTTTTTTTTTTTTTTAAACGTTTAATTAATTGACGGGGGATTAAATAAAATTTACGGGGACGGGTCCTTAATTTTTTTTTTTTTTTTTTTTTTGTCGACATCCGTTTTAAATTTTTTTTTTTTTTTTTTTTTTAAATTTTTCCAAGCGGAAATTATTCAAAAAAAAATTTTGTATATAAATTTTTTTTTTTTTTTTTTCTTCAAGTTTTCCGGAAATTGAAAACTTTTTATCATCATTAACATTATCATTATTATTTTTTTTTTTATTCGTTTTTTTTTGTTATCACTAACTCTATATATGTATATATATAAAAAAAAAAATCAATAAATATCGATTATACGTAATAACCAACGTGTAACAACAACGAATAACGGTTATAACGGTTATTTACAAAAAATTTTTTTTTTTTTTTTTTTTTTTCAATTATGGCAGCTCTTTTTTTTTCAATTTTTTTTTTGCCGTCGTAACGTTGTTTTTGTTTTTATTTTTTTAGGCCGTATTTTTTTTTTTTTTTTTTTTTTTTTTCTGATGACACGATCAAGTATCGAATTGTTTTTTTTTTTTAAATAATTTTTTCGTTTTTTCTTTTTTTTAAATTATTTCCGTTGTTGTTTTTCTTTTGATTTTTTTTTATTTTTTTTTTTATTTCGGCTCGAAAAATCGTAATTAATTATTATTATTATTATTATTATTATTATTATTATTATTTGTATTATTATTATTATTATTATTAAGCGTTTGAATTTCGATTTTCATCATAGCGCCGAATCGAATACTTGTAGGGATTTTGTTATTCCATCGTCCTATAAAAAAAAAAAAAAATTTAATTTTTTTATTAATTTTCAATATGGCGGCGGAAAAGTTTTTTTTTTTTTTTCCTATTGAAACGATTTTTATTTATTTATTATTGTCATTGTTATTGTTATTATTATTATTGTCGTTATTGAAATTTTTTATTTTTATTTCCGTTATTGTAAAATGATCAATGCGATTGATTTTATTATACGTGAATGTAAAAAACAGAAGAAAATGAGAGAGAGAGAGAGAGATATGCAGATATATAGAGTAGGGGAGAGAGAGAGAGAGAGAGATAGATAGGAGGGGGGGAAAACAAAAATGGCGGTACAATTTTTATTTTGAAAAAGTGAAATAACAAGAGAAATTTTTATTTTTTTGTTTTGTTTGTTTGTTTGTTTGTTTGTTTGTCTGTCAATTTATTAAAACGTTTTCTTGTACTTTCGTTTGTCTCAAAAAGAGAGAGAGAGAGAGAGAGAAAGAGAAAGAAAACGGTTTGAAAATTGACACACAGACAAATAAACGTTTGTGGCAAAAAAAAAAAAATGTTTATTTTTTTTAAAAAAAAGAAAAGAACGATTGGGAAAAGGAAATTTTTTTTGTTTTTGCCAAGGGACCTTTCGTAAAAGCGATGATAATAATAATAACAACAATATTTCCAAGTGTTTTTCTTTTCTCTCTCCCCCCCTCTCTCTCTCTCTCTCTTTTTTAATTTCGTTTTTTTTTTAAAACGTCCAAAAAAAAAAAATTTTTTTTTCTTTTTTTTTTTTTTTTAAATTGGCTCCAAATCAAAGAGGTTGTTCTATTGTTCCATAAAGTTTAGAAAGCGGCGACATTTAGTCGGATTTTGTAAAAAACCAAAAAGCATTATACAAAAAAAGAGCGAGAGAGAGAGAGTGAGAGAGAATGAAAAGAATCATTTGCGAACAAGGTTTTAGCTGTTGTTGTTCCTGTTGTCGTCGTAAATTTGTTCGAGTTGCGAAAAATCAATGTTTAAAAAAAAAAAAAAAAAAGGAATGGAATGGAATAGTTAGTTAGTTATTTACCTTCAAGCAAGATTCCATAAATTCTTCTAACGTTATGACGCCATCTTGATTTAAATCTAACTTACGGAAGACTCTGTCGATTTGATCTCTCGCTTTTCTATCGTCGTCTATTTGATGCGGTCTCCTTCCCATTAATTCGTGTATGGCAAGAATTATTTCACCTAATTCCGATCTCGTTATGCATCCGTCCCCGTTTATGTCGTATAATTTAAATGTCCAACGTAATTTTTCGTAAACGGAACCTCTTAAAAGCGTCGATAACGTCACTAACATATCCTGAAATTAAAAAAAAAAAAATCGATTAATCGATTAATCGATCGATAGAAAAAAAACAATATTCGATACTCTTTCTAATAATAATAATAATAAGGGTTTTCTCGTTCGCTTTAAATTTTGTTTTGTTCTTTTTTCTTTTGTGACGTCATCAATTTGAAAAATTAATAAATTCATGAACGCGCTCGCTCTCGCCGCGACGTTTTGTTGCACGTAAAAGGATGTCAATTTTTAAATGGATTAATACGTGATGTAAAAAAAAAAAAAACAAAAAGGGGGGGGAAATTATTATCATTATCATTATTATTATTATTATTATTATTATTATTATTATTATTATTATTGTTATTATTTTTTACGACTTTTAGAGAATCGGTAAACGGCGGTAAATAGAAATACAAAGGAAATTTTTTTTTGTGAAAATGGTGGAAATGATCAAAGAATAAAAAAAAATGATGATAAACAATTTATAATAAGTTTTAAAAAGAAAAATTTGTTTTATTTACAACGGAAAAATGATTAATGACACGTTTTTTTTCAAATTTTACGCGGCGTTAAATCATTTGGCGTACGCGGTCGGAAAATAAGAAAATAAAAAAAAAAAAAAATTTTTTTCTTTTTTATTTATTTGTTTGTTTGCTTTTTTTGCCGTTTATTTTTTACGGTTAAAAAAATTTTTTAAAGACGCGGGAATGGTAGGGGGAGGGAGGGAGGGAGGGAGGAATAAAAAAAAATCATATAGATGGATATAATAATAAATTTCGTCTGCTACTCCGTGACGTCATCTTTTTTTTATATTTTTTTATTGTCGTCGTTTCACAAGAAGGGAAAAAAAAAAACGTTATAGTTTTATTTGCGTGAAATTAAAATTTTTCGATTTAAAACATTTGCTATTGCCACGTTAAGTTAAATCTCGAAATCGAAATTGAATGAAAATTTTTTTTTTTTTTTTTCGTATGCTATGGTATAATAATAATAATAATAATAATAATATTAAATCGTTTTTTTATTTTTTATTTTATATTTATTTATTTTTTCAATATGGCGCCGTAAAAAATTTTCGAACGAACGATTGTTTTTCCCCTCCCCCCTTTTTTCATTTTTTATTTTCGTTAAATTTAATTTTTTCGACCGTTAAAAATTTAATTTTTTTTTACTGAAATTTGATACGAAATTTAAAATGATAATAATAATAATAATAATAATAATAATAATAATAATAATAATAATAATAATAATAATAAATCTTTTCGAATAATTTATTGTTATAGAATCTATATATATAAAAGCAGAAGAAAAAAAAAATAATAATAATAATGTAGGGATGGGGAGTTTGTTCTTTTACCGTTATTTTTCAAATTTTCTTTTTATTTTTTTTTATCATCTTATTTTTATTATCATTATCATTATTATTATTATTATTATTATTATTAATATTATTATTAATATTATTATTTATACGTTTTTTTTAAAAAGATTTTCTGCTTTATACGAAAAAAGAAACAAAAAAAAAAAAACTTTTGGCATAATTCATTTTTTTTCGTGGAATAAATTTATCATTAGTGCATAATTGAAAAAGTTTTTTAGAGAAAAGTTTCTTTTTTTTTTTTTTTTCTGTTGCCACGGTAATGCGAATAATAATAATAATAATAATAATAATAATAATAATAATAATAATAATAATAATAATAATAATAATAATAATAATAATAATAATAATAATAAATAAAATACAAAATTAAATTTATTCGGTTTGTGATTTTTCACATCCGTGGAAGAAGAAGAAGAAGAAAAAGGAAAATGGAAGGGGGGTGGGGTGGGGGAAATTTAACAACAATCGTTCGTTAATTTTTATTATTATTATTTTTTTCTTTTTTTATCTCGTGCTGGAATTTCCAGTTGGAAAATTTATTAAATTATTAACACGTCCGCGGATTCATTCAAAAAAATTATTATTATTATTATTTCGGGGAGGAAAAAAAAAATTTATTTTATGGACTTTGGAAAAAAAAAAAAAAAAAAAAAATATTTCGGGTGTTTCCCCCCCCCCCGTTTGATTATCCCGTGTAAATCAATTAATATAAATTTTATACGGGATGATTGTTTTTTCCAGATGAAAAAATGTCTGGAATCAGGAAGGGATAAAAACGTACAAATATTTTTTTTTTTATTTATAATAATGAATGAACTTACCCTAAACGTAATAGCTCCATTACAATTGACGTCAAAGGCTTTGAACACATAATGAGCATAAGAACTTGAATCTGTTTAAAAAAAAAAAAAAATTTTTTTAATTAGTTGTTGTTGTTGTAACGGTCTTTTCGAATTTATATTTTAAACTTTAATACTTACTCCCGTGTGGGAAAAATTTTTGGTAAACGTCTTTAAAAGCTTCTTCTAAAACCACGCCTTCCGGACATTCCTTAAAAAAAACAAAAAACAAAAAAAAAAGTTTACGTTAATGCACCACGATAAAATATTTTTTACACTTGGGTTATATAATTTTTTTTTTTTTTTGTAAAAAGTGGAAGAAGGATTTAATAATTTATTTTTTCTTCTTCTGCCACGTAAACGAACGTTCGGAATACGGGGTAATGTTACGTTAAGTGTTTAATGATAATTTAAAAGAAAGGGAGAAAGGGATGAAAGGGTGAAAGGGGGGAAAAAGGGCGGGGAAGAAACTAATCGTGGAAGTAGAATATAAATAATTTATTACGTTGTAAAATCGAATTAAATTTTCCTTTTTTTTTTTTTTTTTCTTTTTTTTCTCGTGTTTGAAAAAAGGATTAAAATTATTAGGCAGAAGAAATTTTTTAGAAAGAGGGAGAGAGTGAGAGAGATAAAGAGAGAGAGAGAGGGGGGGGTGAGTGAGAGAGAGAGAGGGGGGGAAAAGAAACTATGAATAAAAAATTAACCGTAAAAATTTGTTAAACTGTTTTTATAAATGGGAGGATAGGGGGAGGGGAGGGAAGGGAGGGAAGGGAGGGGCAAAAAAGGAAAATTCGATATTAAAAATGAGATTTCTTTGTTTTGATTTGGTTATAAAGTTTTCGTCGTGTCGGCAGATGTTTAAAAAAAAACGTTTTTTTTTTTTCCGCAAATGTGATTTTGAGTGAATTTCTTTTCTTTTCAATATATATTTATTGTCACGATTTCGACAAAATTAAAATTCTGTAGGGGTTGAAAAAGAAATAATAAAAATTGTTTTTTTTTTTCGGTTCTTTTTCCCCATTCGATTTTGATTTTCGAAAAGTTTAAAAAAAAAAGAAAAAAATAGAATTATTTAAATATTTTATTTTAAAGTGGGAAAAATGGAATAAATTTCTTTTCAATCGTTTAAAATTATCATTCATCGTTTTTTTCATGTCTCGTCTCGTGTCGAAACATTATCGATTAATAAAATTTTTAAACGTGGCATCAGAAACTCTAAATTTTTATATTTAATGAATACATTTGATTCGACTCGAATCAAGAAAAATTCATGATAATAAAAACAAATTAAAAAATTTTTTTTCTTATCGACGTGGATTTAACCGGGGGAGGGGAGGGAAGGGAAGGGAAGGGAAGGGAAAAAGTCATTCGTCACATTCGTCGTGTATAATTTTCAAATGAATTATACGCGCCGCCGCCATTTTTTTTTTTTTTAAATTAAGTAGTTTACGTTAAGGAAATAAAAGTTTTAATTGAATGTCATAATATAATAAACTACGTGTCATTATTCATTTATTTATTTATTTTTGTATTTATTCGCGATTATTGTAAAGAGAGAGAGGGGGGTAAGAGAGAAAGAGAGAGAGAGGGAGGAGGGTAAGAGAGAAAGAGAGAGGGAGAAAAAGGGGAAGAGAGAGAGAGAGAGAGAGAGAAATAAGATTGTTGGATGGATGCTGTAAGGATTAAAATGAGTGGATAAAAATCGGTTAGTTTTTTTTTTTTTTTTTTTTTCTTCCAAAGATTTGATAATTTCCATGACGATAATTATAATAACGATGTCGTACATTGCCGGTTGTTTAAAAACAATTTTTTACAATTCGAACCGTGAATCAAAACATTCGGGTGGGGAGGAGGGCGGGGGAGGGAAATAGCGCAAGACATGAAATCGTTTCGTTGTTTTTATTTATTTATTTATTTATTTACATTGTGTGGGTAAATATCACGTGAGTTGAATCACGTGACACAAACAATCAAACAAATGAAGGTGAGGTAGAGGAGAAGGAGAAATCCAAGATGGAGGAAGCTTTTAATTATTGTTTAAAAAAAAAAAAAAATTCAATGCTTTGTCGCAGAAAATTTTTTTTTTTTTTTTTTTGACCGAGTGCCATTTTTTTATTTTTTTTTATTTTTTTGTAATCGCGGAAGTTTTTTCTTTTTTTTTTATATATATTTCTGCGACATAAATCGAGTGAAAATAACAACGAAAACAACAACAACAACCGAAAAAAAAAAAAAAAAAAAATTTTTTTTTGGCAAATTAAATCGTCGTGTTATTATTATTATTGATGGTAATGTAACGGACGAAATAATTTTATTTTAAATTTTTTTTTTTCTCTTTTCCGACCGAACGATCGTTATTTTTCGTTATTTGATTTTTTCGTCGCGAAATTTAATTTTTTTTTATAAATTAAAATTTTTCACGGTAAAGGCCCGCGAAACGGTTTTGTCGCGAATTTTCAAAAAATTTCTTATATAACCTCAGAAGAACTGTTTTTAACCTTTTGCTTACGTATAAACGTAAAAAGGAAATGACGTAATCGTACGTAATAATAATGACGGTTAAACGAAATGACGTCATTTATTTTAAAAATGAAAATATGGTATTATTATTATTATTATTATTATTATTATTTTATAATCGTTGAGAACCATATTTCGAGAAATTACGACGCAGTAAATTTAAATTTTTTTATTTTCCCCCCACTCTCGCTCTCGGTTTTAAACGAATGTCGTAAATACTTCCGGTTTTTCGATAAATTGTTCTCGTTCGTTTCCGGATAAATAATAATTTCGTAGAGGAAAATTTTTGATTCATTGTAAATAGTTTAATGGGAATTCGAGTCGCATTCATTCTTCATTGTTGTTGTTGCTGTTGCTGTTGTTATTTATAACGTTCAAAACATTTTCCAAAATTTAAAAGGAATAGGGGGGAGGGGAGACATATTTAAAATTCCCGTTCTAAATTGTTGAAAACGTAATATTCGTTTAAAAAAAAAAAAAAAATCGAAATTAAACGCGCACGCGCATGACGTTAAAATCAAGGAAGGGGAGGGGGAAAAAAAATTTGCCGGGAAAAAATCCGGGATGATATCCCGTTGAGGAAAAGGAAAAGTAAAAAGAAAACTATGAAAATATCCTGAAGAAAATGACTTTTTATCCCTACTCATTCCCTCCCCAAAAAAATCGTCGCGAAAGTTTAAAAAAAAAAAAAAAAAAAAAAAAAAGTTGATCGTGTCATTAATGTAAAAGTTTATATGGGGGGATGGAAGGGGTAAAGGTGGGGAAAGAAAGGGTTGGGGGAAAAAATGAAGTACGACTAAAAAAGATTAAATGTAAAATAAAGTTTCGTATAAAAAAAGAAGGAAAGTACGATTAAAATCGTTATTTAAAAAAAAAAAAAAAAAAAGGATGAGAAAAAAAGGAAAAAAAAAAAGGAAAAAAAGGGAAAATTGTAAAAAATCACGTGATGTTAGAAATAAGTTAAAATTTTTTTTTTTTTTATTTCATGTCATATAAAATTTGATTGTTTTTTTTTTTTTACTATCTATCTATCTTTCACTTTCCTATCTCTTTCTCTCTCTTTTTTTCCCACTTTCATAGTAAGAGAGAGAAAAAAAAGAAATTTCCTTATTCAATTTATTTCCCTTTCCATTGTTTCCGTTGTAAATGGTTGTTGTTGTTGTTGTTGTTGTTTTGACCCAATTCGAGGTTTTCGCCTGTTATTATCATTTTTTTTTTTTTTTTTTGATTTCGAATTCGTGAAATTCGCGCCGAAAAAAATAATAAATAATATTTTTACGTTTTAATTACTCTATGGGATTTAAAAAAAAAAAAAAAAAAATTGATGATGATAGTGGGCGGTGCGAAAGGAAGTGGGAAAAGGATGGATACATTTCGTTTCGTTGTGTTTTGATTATTTATTCGTTATTAAATCTATTTAAAATGAAAATTTGTGTTCTTATCAATCAGTGCGATGACCTGATAAGAATTTATTTTCAAATTTTTATCATTCGTAACGAAAAAAAATTTAAAATAATAATTTTCCGTTTGAATTTGTCGTTTATTTAATTTAAATCGAATTCGTTTAAACTGTTATAAAAATTATTATTATTATTATTTATTTTTCGCTTTCTATGCGGTCGGGAAAAAAAACAAAAATCTGCAGCGCGATGCGGGCGACAAATTTTTTAAAAAATGGCGGCAAAATATTTTCGTTTAAAAAAAAAAAAAAAAATTGAACGAATTTTTCCCGCCTATTATACGATATGACGTCATAAATTATATTATTAATAAAAACATCGTCGGTGTGCATGGATGAAATAAATGGTTAAAAAAAGGTACGTTCAGAAATTGTTAGGGGGGGAAAAAAACTCACGGTTACCATGGCAACGCACAAAAAAACGGTTGATTATTTTTTTTTTAAAAATGTCGGTTGATTATTATTTAAAATAACATTTTTTAATTTTTTTGTTTTGTTTTGTTTTTGTTGTTTTTTCAACGTGAAATTATTAACAATTTATTATTATTATTATTATTTTTTGTTTTTTAATTACGTTTAACGGCACGCGGATTCGGTTAAGTGTTAAAAATTGTTTAAACAATTGTTACGTGTATGTATGTAAATAAAAAAAGGTGGCGGTTAGGATCGAAAGGGAGGGATAACGAGAAAATTGTTCTAGAATGTTGTTTTAAAATGGCAGGAATCAAGTTTGTTGTTCATTGAATGAACATTTCGAATGCGAAACAAGTAAGACAAAAATAATAATAATAATAATAATTTTCGTTGTCGTTTCCGGGTATCGGTAATTAATATAAAAAAGTACCTACGAGTCGATTAAAAAAAAAATGTTACAAGTACCAATTTAAAATATTATTTAATTCCCCCATTTTGTTTTTTTTTTTGAAAACAACGGAGAAGGAAGGATACACAGGAAATGGTTCCAGGGTCTCTTTTAAAACTGTGATGACGTCATTTCTGATCGATCGAGCCAGGTGGTTTCTTTCTCACTCGCTCTTATACGGTTTTTATATCCTAAAGGATTTTCAATTCTATCTCTTTCTTTCTCATTTATTTCCATCTCTATTTTTATTTCATTTTCTCTTTTCGTTTCATTTTTTATTTTAAAAAAAAATGCTTGTTGCTGTTGTTAGCTTTTAAAACATTCTTTGACCGTTTTTTTTTTGTTGCCATATTTAAAAAGACTCGTATGTATTCGTGTTAATACTGTTTAATGCAAACATTACATAATAATAATAATAATTATTATTTAAAAAAAAAAAAAAAAAACAGCAGCAGACGAATTTTTATTTTTGTTGTTTTTCATGTTTGGCTGTCATTTCATTTCCATGACAACAACATTTTCTCTCTCTCTCTCTCTCTCTCGAAAAATTTGAAATGTAACAAAAAAAAAATTTAACCGTTTTTTGACGTCGAATTAAAAAATTTATTTATTTTTATTTTAATAATAAAATAAATAAATAAAATGTAAGGGTTTTTTATTTTATAATTGCGACAGTTAAAGGGAATTTAATTTTAATTTTCGTTTGGGGGAAAAATGTCGGAGGTTTGGGAGGGGAGGGGGGAAAGGGAAAAAAATGGACGATGGACGAAATATATATATATATATGTTAGAATTAAATATTTAAATGTTGAAACAAAGGATTCCGTATCTCTCTCTCTCTCTCTCTCTCTCATTAAAATAATGATAATATTAACGTTTTAAAATATTTGTAAATATGCGCAGGAGTTATTTTCTAGAAATTTCTCTAAATGCGCTCGATAAAGCAAGGATGGATGAAAGGAAGGAAGGTACATAGAGAAACGAATAAGTTGTGGGAAAATTTTTTTTTTTTTTTTTTTTTTTTTTTTCATTTTTCATACTCAACAGGTTTAATAAAGAGAAAAGTTTGATTGTTGTTGTTTTCGTTGTGTATCTTTCGGATGCTGTAATCATCATCATCATTTGACGTAATTAAAGAAAGGGAGGGAGGGGAAAAAAAAACGTTTTTCTACTTTTCATCGTTCGTCTCGAATTATTATTTCTTTACACATTATTATTATCAATCACTCAAGAAACATTTTAGCGACGACATTTTTTTTTTTTTTTTTTCGAAAATGTATACATTTTATTATTATTATTATTATTATTATTTCGCTCTTGTGAATAATAAGGTGTGTAAAGATTACATACATATGTTGTCGAAATGAAAAATGATGTTGATCGAAGTATACACGCGTATGACGACCCCCCACCACCACCCCCGTAAATTTTGATTGATTAACTCGCGTATTGTTTTAAAAAAAAGTGTCTTGTTACACGACGTTATTATTTTGTCTGATTACACGACGGCGGTAAAAAATTTCTAAAAGTCGACGACGACGAAAAAGTTACATAATAATTAATTAATTCGGTCAGATGTCGTGTGTGTGGAAATCGAAATAAATTTTTTTTTTTTTTTCGAAACATTTCGAAAATAATAATTCTAAAAATAAATATTTGAAAGAAACGAAATGAATTAATGATGATGATGATAATGAAGACAATTAAAAATAAAAAATAAAAAATTTATTAAACAAGATGTTGTCAGTCGGTTGAACAACAACAACAACAACAAACAAACAAAAAAAATAAACTCGCACGACGTTACAAAAAAAAAAAAAAAAAAATTTCTGCGGGGGAATTTTAATTTAATTTAATTTAATTTAATTTCTCTCTCTCTCTCTCTCTCTCTCGAAAACAAAAATCGTTTGTTTTCTTGTTGTGTCGTTTACACTGCAGCAGTAATGACAATAAGAGTATGAGATATATATATATATGTCGTGTAGAAAAATTATCAGCAGTAATTTAATTTAAAAAAAAAGGGAAAAGAGAGAGAGAGACAGAGAGAGAAAGAGAGAGAGGGAAAGAGGGATAGATAAAAAGAAAGAAAAAAGATGGAATCAATCTTATTAAATAATTACAAAAAAAAAAAAAAAAAAGGAAAAAGTTCAAAGTTGTCTGTTTCGTTTCATTTCTAACGAATGTTTTTTTTTTTTTTTTTTATTTACTTTCTTTAATTGTTTTCGTAGTACGATTGATCGAATTTTTCGAATCGATATTAATCGATTATAATCGATAAAATAAATAACGATGCGTATTTTTTTTTTAATTTCAGGTGCGACACGAATGAAATTTCAAATTATAACAAAATCGTACAGTTTCCGGTTTTTACCCGGTAAAATTTAATAAGAAACAAAATGAGGATACCACACACGATAAGTTTAAATTATTTTAAAGAATATACGCCGTCGGAAGTTGCCGCCAATTTGATAACGGATTCGAAAAGAAAAATCAAATCGGAAAATGTTACGTGGGACGAATTCCTGCCTCCGTCATTAAAGGAATTATGCGTGAAAGTAATCGTTGATAATTTCGAAAACAGAATATTGTTGAAAGAATTACCCCTTTGGGATCGTAATTTCCTTTTGGAAATATTACCAACGGATCTTCCTCTTCCCCTCGTCGTGACTCACATAGACAATGGGATTTATTGGAAAAGAAAAGTACAGGATAGATGGAAAAACGAATCGAATTATTGTCAGGACTACGATTTCAATTGGAAAAGAATGTTTTTGGAAAAACACGTTCAAGAAGCCATCGAAGGAATGACTCCCGAAGGCAAGACGTCATTAAATTAATTAATATTAATATTATTATTTTAAACATTTTTTCTCCTTTGCGAAATAATAATAATAATAATAATAATAAAAAAGGATGAATGATTTTCAGGTTTCGATCTTGAAAACGCTTTGACGCTGTGTAGAATGACGAAAGAGTACGTTCAGAAATTAAACATAAGAGAATTGAAAGCGTCGCACGTTGATAACGACGTGGATTTAGAAGATGAAGACGTGGAACTTTTTTTAAGCGAAAAACCCGTTAATTGCAGTCACATTGATCTCTCGCCGATGATATCCGAATTTTCTAATTTAACCGAACTCGAAGTTAATTTCGGAATGAGAAACATCGGTGATAATTACAAGGAACATTATTTTAAATTATCCATTGAGGATTGCGAGTAAGTTTTTAAAGTTTATTATTATTATTATTATTATTCTTGGGAACCTTGGAACCTTTCGAGGGGAGGGGACGTGAAAAAAAAGGTTGTATATGACAAAGTTTAAATTTAAGGATGAGAGTAGTAGTAAAATAGTACTTCGCTCGTTTTGTCGTGTTTGTATATATGAGTTTAAATTAAATTTTAAATTTTCTGGAAGGGGGGAATAACGTTAAAGGGGAGGCGGAGGAAGAGGAGGAGGGAGGTCGAAATAATAAAAAGGGGGGGGGGCGGCTTCGCGAAATCTTATCGAACAACACATTTGAGATTTAAATTACTTTTTATCATAATCGTGTTTTTTAGTCGGAAAATTTAATTTTATTATTAATTTATTTTTGACTTTAATACGTCAACGCGATGACGATAATGATGATGTTGATAGGTTATTTATCATAGAATAATTTTTAAATTTTTCAAAGAAAAGTTTTGTTAAAGATGATTTTATTAATGACGTCATTAAAATACGAGGATTTTTTTTTTTGATGGATCGATCGAAAGGAAACGATTGTCGTTTTTGTTGTTGTTGTTTCTGTTGTTGTTGTTATTATCATTATCATCGTCAATGCAGTAATAAATTTAAAAAGGGGAAAGGGGATGGGAGAGGAATGGAGGGGGGTTTGGGGAGGGGAAATGTACACCGCCCTTAGTCGAACGGAAGATTTTATCCGAAGGTGTGGCACGATTTTAAGACAGGTTTTATGTTTTTTTAAATAAAAAAAAATAACGCGGATGTTTCCACCCATTTTTAATATATATGTACAACATGGAGGAAAAATTGTGGTTTCGGATAGAAACAAAAAAAAAAGCGGAAATGGAAGGATAAAAAAAAGGGGGGGGAGAAAGAAGGTTAGAGGAAGAGGAGAAAAGAGGGGATGAAATGAAACGCACAAAAAAAAATTTCTCAATGACAACAAAAAAAAAAAAAGTAAATAAATTAACCGATTGTTTTAAAAGAGAAAAAATTAAAAACTCTTCAAGGGAAATTCTATTTTTATAAATGTCGGCCATTTTATTTTTTTCCGCTCAAAAATTTATTAAAGAGTTTACACATATATATATATATCGAAAATCGATCGATATCGATAATATCGTTACTACTACTACGATTCGAGTTATTTAGAAAAAAAAAATTTAGGTGTCGAATCGTTTTTAAAAATATTAAATTACAGGAAGGACAAAAAGAATAGAAAAAAAAATTTTTTTTTTTTTTTTCATTCTATTCATTCTCAGGAATTTAGGTAAAGGGATATCGTTGTCGGATAAATTGAAATCGTTAAAAGTTCAAAGTTGCAATTTGGACGACGAAAGATTGAAAGCACTTTTAACGAAAATGGATGAAAATAATTCGATAGAATCGATCGATGTATCGAATTGTTTGATAACGGATTCGGGAGCGGAATCAATGGCGAAATACATGAAAAATCACGAAAATTTAAAAATTTTAAATTTATCAAATAATAGAATAGAAGAAAATGGCGTTTCACTACTCGCTTACATGATTGCTCGTCCGGACACGAGCCGATTGGAACATTTAAATATAAAATTCAATCCGTTCGGAGATCAGGGACTCAAATATTTGGCATCGGCTTTGGTACGGGAAAATCCGACGATAAAAATCTTGAACGTTTCCTGTTGTTCTCTCGGTTCCGAATCCGGGATATACATGGGAGAAGTTTTGAACAGAAACGAAATACTCACGGATTTGGACATGAGTAATAATTATTTGGGAAACGATGGAGGTACGGCGTTGGAATCGGGAGTGGAAAATAGCAAAACGATACAGTTTTTGGATTTGAGAGAAAATGGCATTTCCGACGATACGTTGACTCGGATAAACGACAGACTTTTTTTCAACAGGATAAGGAGTCGTAAGGGTGAGAAGGGAGTCGTTCGCGAATTGAAATTGATAGCGAAAAGAGAAATGGAGGAGAAATTAAGATTGGAAAAATTAGCAGAAGAAGAAGCGAGAGCTGCCGAAGAGGAAGCCGCACGAATTGCTGCCGAAGCGGCCAGAGCATTAAGAGAAGCACCGGAAGTACTGGAAGATTAAATTTTTCCTTTTTTTTTTTTTTTTTTTCTAATTTACTTATCGGAAAAGGTTTTGAAATTAAAAAAAAAAAAAAAAAAAAAAAAAAAATTCAAACATTTAATTTAATTTTAGTCGTTGAGTTTTTTTATTTAAAAAAAATGGCGTCGTTGTTTAGAAAAAAAAAAAACGTTTCTCGGGTTCATTAATTAAAATTCTTTAAATGTAATAATCACTTTTTTTTTTCGGTTTCGATTGTCAAACGAGAGTTTAAAGTGCGTGTAGATACGGTGCGTAAATAAAATAACTAATGACACGAAAGAGAGAGGGGGGGGGAAACGCGGGAATACGATTGATAAATTTACGCGGGAAAATTTAAATTAAAAAATTAGATTGTCCGTGAAATTGATTTTATTATTATTGGAAAAATTTTTAATTGCCGTATAACTTTTTTTATTTTGATGCGAATTATGCGACGTGTGAGTGATTAATTAATTAAATTTCGGTTAATAGAGAGGTATTAAAAAAAAAAAATTACCAACTTCCCCCCACAACCCTCCCCCTTTTGCTTTTTTTTAAATTTAATTTTATTACATGTAAAATATCTCGGTCGATTTCCGTTTTGAAAAAAAAAAACTCACCGCCTTCTTTAAACAAAAACAAAATGGAAAATCGTGTACGAACGCGTTCGGTTCGCGTGAATAGGTTTTAATTTTTTTTTTTTTTACGTTTAATACAATTATAAAAAAAGCGGTTGCGTCGTTTGCTTACGTCACGGGAATAAAGTTATGACGTCATATAATTTTTTTAAAAATTAATCCGAATCCGAATCGAATAAGTATATTTAAATGTTATTTTATACGAATCTCTTTCTCACATCGATTCATTTCTCTCTCTCTCTCTCTCTAGTTTTTTTACTCTCTTTCTCTCTCTTTCTTTTTTTTAATATTTTTTAATGGATTTCGGAGCCTTCGGTCTATAAAAAAAAAAAAAAAAAAAAAAAAAAGGGTTGACTGACGCGTTTTTTATAAGGTTACACACGGAATATCGTTTTTTTGTTACCTGCCTTGTGGCTTAAAGGTCAAATTTCTAATTTAAAACGATAATTGTATTATAACTTGAATGGCAAAAGTTCGAAGGTTAAATACGAGCACGTATGGATTGGGAAAAAAATTTCCCTCTTCTTCCCTCTTCTTCCCCCATCTCCCCCGGATTAGAGTTAATAAAAACTCTATTTTGCAGTAAAAAAAAAAAAAAAAAAAAAAAAAAAAAGGAAACGGAAGAAAGGAGGAGAAGGAAACGGATGAAAGAAGAATGGAGAGAGGGAAGGAGGAGGAGGAGGAAGAGGAGGAGAAAGAGGGGAAGGGGAAATAAAGAAAACGATAATATTAATTATTATATCGTAAAACATTTTAAAAGCAATAAAAAAAAAAAAAAATCGATTATAACGAAAATGCGAAAACGTTAATTAGTAATTCATATCCGCGCGGTGTTTATTAATTAAAAAATAGCAATAATAATAATAAAAACATTATTTATTGTTTTGAAACTGAGAAAAGGATTTTATTATTATTATTATTATTATTATTATCATTATTGTTTTAAATTGAAAAGTTTAAAAGGAGGAGAAAAAAAAAAAAAGGTTTCAAGTGTTTTTGTAACAACATCATCATTTACATCATCATCATCATCGTCTTCATCATCTCATGATTCTATTGTATTTAAAAAATTGTTTTTATCTCTATGGAATAACGTGATGACGTTAGAGTGCACGCGCGTTTGATTTTCAATTTAAAAAATCAAAATAATCGCTTTTATATAATAATGATAATAAATTTTGTGTAGTTTTTAGACGTGTAATTAGATTTAATTTTAATTTGTGAAAAAAAATTTGTTTTGTGACGTCGATTATCTATCAATTTTCGTTATATTTAAAAAAACGGCATTAGTTAAACATATTCGATTCGATATATCGCGAGAGTGATATTTAAAAATATTAATAATAATAATAATAATATTAGCAGTGCGTGAAATTAAATATAGAAAAAATGGATTCCGAGCTAAGGATTAAAAATAAATAAAATGGCTGACTTAAATTGGTCATCCTCGCGATTCCATAAAGTATATAAAAAAACTAAAGGTAATACCCGGAAATGTTATCATCGTCGAAAAAACGTAATTTTCTCAGGTGATTGATTGATTGATTGATTGATTGTCAATTGATGATGATCGACTACGTTAATTAATTATCGAACGTTAAAAATTATTAAAGGCAACAAGTCGTCGTCGTCTGCGGATTCTATGGTTTAATTTTTACCAAAAATTTAAAATTTTTAATTTTTTTGGGGGGCAGGGAGAAGGGGAGGGAGGGGTAGAAACGAATGAATGACTAAAATTAAAACGTTTTTTTTTCTTCCTTCTCTTTAATGTGGGAAATGATAATATTTTTAACATAACGCTCGCGTAAAAAAAAATTAATTAAAAATACGCGGCGGTTATTAAAAAAAAAAAATAATAATAAAATAATAATAATAATAAAATTTTTTCGATATATATAATATTTGGTCGTGCCCCCCCCCCTTTTCGGTCTTTTCGTTTCGCTACACCAAAAAAAAAAGATTGGATCAATACTACTAGTAAAAAAAAAAAAAAAAGGCTCTCCAAAATTGAATCAAAATACGTAAAATTTACCACTGGAATGAAAGAGTGAGAGAGAGAGAGATAGGGGAGGAGGGGAGAAAGAAAGAGAAAGAGAGAGAGAAAATGGTGGAAAACGGTTATTGAGGGGGGGGGGAAATCATTTAGAAATTACGCGGGTTTTAATTAATATTATAACAAAAATTTTATTTTAAACGTTTTTAATTGTTAGCTTATGGATTTTTTTTTTATTTCAAAGGTTTTCCAAAAGGGAAGGGAGGGGGAAGGAGGAGGGAGAAAGAGAGGGAGGGTAGTAGAGTAAGAGAGGGCGGTGAAGAATTTAAAAAAAATAAATAAGGTTAATTAAATATCGATTTGAAAGTAATGGGAAGGAGGGGAGAGGGATGGGAGGAGAGGAGGAAATTATCAATGATGATGATGATGATGATGATGATTAATGTGTGTTTTTTCGTACCTGTTTAAATCCTCTGTACATGACTCGGATTTCGTGCCTTGAAAATTTTGTTTGTTTGCAAAGATCTTCGAGTGCAACTGTTGGATGTTTGAAAACTCTTGTCGTACCAATATCAAAATAACCTTCTTCAATTGGTGAATCGGGAGGCGTCGCCATGTCTCTTTCTTTCTCTCTCTCTCTCTCTCTTGTTTTTTTTTTTTTTTAATTCACTCGATTCACAACGGTTATAATTTTTTAATAAAAATGAAACTCGACCCGTTATATATATATTCGAATTAATATTTAACTTATTATTGTTTTAAAACGCGAAATTACGCGAAAAAATGCGTGGACGGATTTTTTTTTTTCTTCGTTTTTTTTTTTCTTTTCGATTTTTTAATTATTGATCATTTGAAAAATAATAATAATAATAATAATTTTTTTTTTTCACTTTCGTCATTTTTTTTTTGTTTTTTTTGGGGGGTTTTCCGTTCGTTTGTTTTGGCTTCTGATTCTAACAGATTATTTAAAAAAAAAAAAAAAAAATGGGGGGATTATAAAAAGAGAGAGATAGATAGATAGAGTCGAACAAACCGTAAAAAAAAAATGTTTTTTTTTTAAAAAAAATTAATTTCGATTATTCATTTTTTATACGTGCGTGCAAAAAAACGAAATCACAAGAAAAAAATTATTATTATTATTTTTTTATCCGTTAAATTTATAATCGATAACGGATAGATTAAAACTATTTACATCGTTTTTCGAAATTTGATTTTTTTTAAAAAAAAAACGAAAATTTATATGTATGTACGGTGATGATTGTTATTATTATTATTTGTTCATCGTTCGCGGATTCGTTCCGATAATCGTGCGACGAATGAAAAAAGCGGGAAACGCGGAGGAGCTTCGACCTTTTTACACGACTGCGCGACATGCTCAGTCGTATTTCCTATTTAAAAAAAAAAAAAAAAAAAATTTTTTTTTATTTACTTTCATTTTATATTATTATTATTATTATTTGAAGAGAGAATTTTAAAGGGAAATTGAATGAAATGTTGTTAAAACCGAGTAATTTTACGTCATGTTATTTGGATTTATGTGGAAATTTCCCCCCCTCCCCCTGCTCCACTCCCCTCCCCATTCTCGCAAAGCGGTATAAATAATGATGATGATAAAATGAGAATGTGTGTGCGGTTTTGTAATTAATAATTAATTAACGATACGAGTTTAAAAAAATTACAATTTAAATTTTAATTCGTTATGTATAATGTGATATGAGGGATGAGTTATAACTAACGGTTTTTGAAAGTACGGCATTTAAAAAAGAAAAAGAAAACTTTTCCTCCTCGTCTTACCGCCATATTTGTTTAAAACCGGCAAAAAGTTTAAATGTTAACTGTAAAACCACGTTTATTAGTTTTTACCAAAAAAAAAAACACAAACAAACAAAAGGTACCCACGCGTTTATTTATCTTTGAGGGGGAAAAAAAACGGTAAAGTTTAAATTTAAAAATTGGCTCGATCTGGTGACACGTACATCGAACGAAACCACTGCCATCTATATTGTATTTATATACTTTGAAGTAGGGAGAAAAAACACTTTGGAGTCGAAAATGGGTAATTAGTAAATAAATAAAATTGAATTTCATGTCGTTTAGTTATCGGGCGTTTGTTATATAATGAGAGATGAAGACGGTTAACGAAGTGGCTAAACATTATTTCGATACTTTAAATCCATTAGCCGAACGTATAAGCACGGATATATTGAATATAAAAAAAATCAATCAAAATCTATGGAATAATTTGAGCGTCGATGAACAAAATCAAATAATAAATGAAAATCTTGTTTATCCAGAAGCCATACTTAAATACGCTCTAAATACGGATCCGTGCCAACAAAATATAAATATTTCATTGGAAGGAAACGTAACTGGAGCCAAATACGTTGTTGATGAAAACACGGTAATTATGCATATTTGTTATTGTACAAAACACACACAAACACACAAATGTTTGTTGTTGTTGTTGTTGTTTGTTTGTTTGTTTATTTGTGTATATTCGATTTCATTTCGTGTAAAACTTACCAATGCAACATAATGATGTAGAACTCTTGTTAAAAAGGCATGTGTAAACAAACAATGGAGTTTTAAAAATGTTTGTCGTTGTTTGTTTGTTTGTTTGTTTGTTTTTTAAAAATCTTATTACATGTGTATTTTAGGGTGTATCATGGAGAGATGAACATTCTGCACCATTTTCATGGAAAACTCCTAGTCAAATTGATTTAACCATATTCACATCATCGAATGGAGATAATGTGATTACCAATGGTGGTTTCAACATTACCAAAACAAGGCAGACATATGTTGCAAATGAATTACAACAATCTGACAAAAATTTACAATTAAAACTAGATAAATCTGATACGTTATCAATTGGGAAGAGTAGTAATAATAATAATAATAATAAAAGCGATTTGAAAACATTGAATCTTTCTCCAGAATCAGCGAATGTTGTTTTAGTCGGAACATGTTCCAAACTGAGCGGTTTTTGTTCGAAATTGAAATTCATGCCTAGTAAATCATACAGCTACGAAGTACAAACGGTTTTGACGACTCCAACGGTTTCGTCGTCAAACGACACCGGATTTTTAGATAAGATAAAAGCAAGCGCCGTTTTGAAAATACAAAACACGTTAAAATTTGTTGGGAGCAAATCGTCGGATTTGAAAAAATCATCGAACGCCAACGGCGTCAACGTCAACGGCGACAACGACACTCAAAATTTAGTTCAATTCAAATGTCCAGCAACGATTGTTAAAATGAATAAACCGTCGCCGAAAGTATCGAAACCTAAATCTCCTCCGCCACCGCCGCCCGTATTAAATTTACCATTGAAAACGGAAACGGAAAATTCGAATGATTCGATAGTCAAAACGATGAACGAAGAAGACAATTGTTACGACGAAGTGGATTCAGAAGAGAAATCGTTATTGGGTAACAACGAGTCGAGAAAATCGTTGAACGTTTCAGATTGTGATAAAAACGATTTCGAATCGAACGTGAAACATGAAATATCAGGAGATTTGAATAGTTTGAGCACGGAATGCACTCCACTCAGCGGTCCTAACATCGACATAATACCAAAAAGCGGTTTCGATTTTTTAGATAATTGGTAAATACTAATAATAATAATAATAATGAATCGAAAAGTCTGATGAATTCGATTATAACTATAGACTGGATTGCCTGAAATTAACTAGTAGTAATAATAATAATAATATCTTGATTGTTATTATTATTATTATTATTATTATTATTGTTTTTTTTCGTATTGAAAGTATTAAGCTCAGATAAGCTGCTGCTGCTGCTGCCTTAGTAATTCATTTCATCATTTTCAATTTCTTCCATTTTTTTCATGGGATTGGGGAGGGAGGGGAGGGAGGGGGTGGGAAATTTGTTTTTATTTATTTGGAAGACTGATTGATATGACCAAAACTTAATAAGTAACAAAAAAAGAAGAAAAGACTCGTTAGGGTTGTAGAGAGTAACAGACAAAAGTGGATACATAAAGTCTCGAATACTTGAAATCACAAACAATTTGGTTGTTTTTTTGGTTGTTTGTTTGGTTGTTGCAATGATTGTTGTAATGGTTGTTGCAACGATAAAAACATTTGTCAAATCAAGTTGTTATTATTATCATTATTATTTCATTTTAAAATTAACTTTCTTAATTTATTTATTTATTTATTGTCATTATCATTATCATTTGTAAGCCTTTTGGGCAAATAAAAAACAATATTATTATTATTATTATTATTATTATTATTATTTTAATAATGGATTTGTTGTCGGTTTGAAGTTTTAAACCATGTCAACTCGACTGATGATTAATAATAATAATAATAATTAGATTTTTTTTTTTTAAATTAATTTAATTAACACGTTTGTTAATTAAATACTAAACTAAACGTTATTTATTTATTATTATCATTATCATTACGTGCACAAGAAAAATAATTAATCGTATATAAGATTTGCACTATATATATATATATATATACATATAAACGTTCGATTTATTTTATTAATAATATTTATTTATTAATAGGATTATGTATGTATGTATTCGTCTTTCGAATGCCTTTTTTTTTACGTAATCGTATGTGTCAGTTTTATATACAAACACATAAAAATTTATATATTTTATTAAATATCACGGAAACGTTAATAATAATAATAATAATAATAAATATTGTTTAAGGTAAATGTGATTTTGATAGTAATTTTTTGTTTTGTATTTTTTGATAATGCCGAATGTTTGGTAATAAAGGACGTCACACACAGGCACAGGCACACAAGTCGTAAATGGTACTTGTCACATTATATGGTATTATGTAATTATTTATAATAAATAGAAAGTAATTACTTAATTTATTATTATTATTATTTTTTTTAAATATTTTTTTAAAAGGTCTACTGCTACTACTACTACTACTAATATTGTCGTTAATTAAATAATAATGATGATACATATAATGTAAATTTTTTTTTTTTTATAGGGCAGAAGGAAATTTTTTTTTTTTTTTTATTGTTCTTTAGGTAATTATATTACGTTGGTCGTGAATGAAAAAAATTATTATTATTATTATTAATTAATTAATATTTTTGTTTCATAAGGTTTTTAAAATTTTGCACACAAAGTAAGTTTACGAAATCAATTATGTAATGTTGAATTGTAATAATAATAATAATAAAATACGAACTACTTTTGCATAATGGATTCTCTGACAAAATGGAAGATAGTATTAGTCGGTCGACGATAAAGTTGAAAAAAAAAAAAAAGGAAAATTAATTTATTTATTTATTTTTATTTTTTTCGTTGTAGTTGAGTTGTAGTATCGATTGAAAATTCAAAAGGAAAAAAAAAAAAATTATATCGGAAAGATTACGTGGTTTTAGAAAGAGCTCATGGTCAAGGATATTGCCACGACGTGGAGTTTGTAAAATATGGCCGTTTCGGTGGGGTAAATATTTACAGAGTTTCTAATATGTCAGTGGATATCAAGTAAACGTGAGTGTTTATTATTATTATTATTTCGTATCCGTTTAGGAAAGAAAATGTTTTTTTTTGTTGATATTTTATGGAAAATTTTTATCGTTGAAATAATTAAATCCGTGATTTAAATTTTTCATTCGCAGTCTTTGTTTGGGAATAATAGAGAGAGAGAGAGAGTTGATTCGATTTATTTGTTACAGAATTAACGAGTTACGTAAAAGTTGTTCATTAAAAAAAAGAAAAATTTTCCAATAATCGATAATAACGTTACAAATGGATAATAACACGCAGAGAAACGCCGTTATCGAGCCTTCCGTAGCGCCTTCATCATCAAATTCGATGCCCAATGTTTTATTTAGGGAAATTCATAAAAATGCTTTTCTCAAAAGGCATTTGTCGGATAGGAGAACGGGATTCCCTAGGAAAAGTGAACGCGTTTGGGTCGTTTTTTGCGTGCACGATGACGTCGAACCATTTTTAGAAATATATTCCGATCAAAAAGTAGCTTTAACTCACAAACCAGAATGGTTTGCGTCGTTGTCAAGTGCCCTTCACGTTTCACCCACTATATGCGGACACGAAGATGAATTTGAATTTGCTGTAACTCTTTCTTTTCAAGTGGTCAGACTGGCTGCACCTTCGTGGGAATCCATGATGGAATGGGTTGAAACCATTAGGAATAAATTGAGAGAATTGAAAGTGTTGTGTCCGAAAGAAAATGTTTATAGTAAAATGCCTGAACAAAAACAACCCCTTCTTCCTACGAGAGATCCAAATTCGCCTTTACCACTACCACCCGAGGGTCCATCAGCTTTACTTCCTGGAGTCGAACTTGTACATGTGGAATCGAGAAATAATTCGACATCATTCGAAAATAATGTCAATGTTTCCAGACATCATCAAAGAGAAATACATTTGAGAGGAAATGGAGTAAATGATAGGCAAGTAAATAGGAAAAAGTCAAATGAAAGAGATAAAAGACTGGGAATGGAATTGATGACAAGGGGGAGTGAAAATCAAAGCAGTTCTTCTAGAATTAATAATGAAACAACGTTTCAAGATGGCGATAGGGAAACGAATGAATCAAATGAAGTTTTCCCAAATGTTAGCGAATTGCAAAGAAATAAACCAAGAGTTAGAAGAGCAGTATCGGTTCCTGAGCCGAAACCTTCAACATCTCAAGTTGCAATGGGATCCAATGTAACTGTAATTGAAGTGTCATCGAATAATGGAAAAGAAAATCATTGTTTTCCAGATGGTGGGAACGCAGTTATTTGCAATACGGTGAATACAAGCGATGACGAAGATACCGATGAAGTATTTCAAGGTCCTTCATTAAATAACTACAAATCCGAAATTAAAACCGGATTTAATAATAATAATAATAATAATGAGGAAGAAGTGCATTACGAACATGTATTTTTAGCAAGTGGTCCCAGTGGTGGGAAATCATCACAGCAGACTAAATTTAATTCGAAATGTGTCGTCGTGGGAAAAAATAAAATGAGCAAACCACATTCTACCAGCGTTATTATTAATTCGAATACTACCGCTCTGGTAAATTCTAGTCCGAACGGTACCGATCCCACGGCAGGTAGTTCGAATAAGTCAGCAGTGAGTGCCGGGAGCTCAGAAGTTCAGGTGAACAACGTCACATCAACGTGTATCAATCTCAATGCGACCGAGTTAAATATTCCTCTTCCTCCTCCCCCTCACTCGACGAAATTAGAAAATATGAGCGTTTCGGGTCTCATTCCCAGAGTTCCTCCCAAAGTTTCGACCAAACAAGGAATTTTTAAACCTTCAGTCATTCCGAGTAATGTAATTTTAGAATCTCAGTCGTGCTCAATTCAAAATGGTAATTCAGAATCGGTCAATTGTGGTGAACAAAACGGCGGAACCAAATTAACAATCGTTGAAAATGAAAATAATAATAATAATAATAATAACAATAACGTGTCTGGTCCTTCTTATAGTCAAGTTAAAAAAATACAGAAAGTGAAAGTTAAATGCGATGAAATGAGGAATCCAATGGTAAAAACAAATTCGCCGATTTTAGAGAAAAAAATTGTGAGCGAAATTCAAATCGTCGAATCTGATCCGCCATCATCATCAAATCATAATCAATTTGCAGAAATTCCAAGCAAAAATCAAATTTCCATATCTAATTCAAAAGTTTCGAATAAAATTGAAATATCTAAAAAATGCAGCGGAGGATGTAGTGGTAGTGGTAGTGGTAGTAGCAGTAGCAGTAGCAGTAGCAGTAGTGGTAGTGGAAGTAATAGTACCAGTAAAAATTTAGGACTAGTCAACGTCACGGTGAGCCAAGACGTAGCTTCAAATTCTAAAAGGAATCCCTGTTGTTCAAACGGTGATTACAAAATAAAAATTTCAAATCCGTCAACCGCATCCACATCTCCCGGAAATCCCCTGGACAATTGTAAAATTTTCTCGAACAAAGGGGAGCCGCAACAAAATCACAACAATAACACGGAAACGGAACCACTCATGGCATCCGTTCAACCCGCCGTCGGAATGATAAGCGTGGAAGATATTCCTCTTATAGGGGGTCATCAGAGACGACGGAGAAGGAGTTCATCTTCGGATGCGCCGCCTCCCATAAATCTACCACCCTCTCGAGTCACGGGCGGAGCCGACAGAATTCGCATAAACGTACCCCTAACGTCGAATCATTCGACGGTTCGGGAAGAATGTCGCGGCGAAAACGAAATAAGGTCGTCGTCGTCGTCGTCGTCGTCGAATCACCCGAGAAATTCAACCGAACCACTAATGGTTCACGTCAACATAGAGCCTCAGTCGTCTGCGAGATTGACTCTGAGAGAACAACAAGTTTTGCAATTGAAAAAAGAAATGCTTCATCCCGGAGGAGTCAGGTTGCAGTTGAGAAGAAAAGATTGCACCGGTTCCATAGCTTTGGTCGATGCTTTAAACGGAGTCTGGTAAGTGTGTGTGTGTGTGCGTGGGTGCGTGCGTGCGTGCGAAACTTTGTAAAGTTGCGACACGAAATTGTATATACGTAAAAATGTGTGTTAATGAGAAGTATGTGTTTTTCGTGACCGGGTAACTAACTCGGGCGACTGAATATTAATAATAATGATAATAATAATAACGCGGTCAATTCAATGAAAACAATGAAACGCGTGTTACCATGAGAGTATCAGCTGATGTGTGGCCGTACGTGTGCGAACGCTCGCGTCACGAATTATAATAAACACAAAAAAAAAATATCATTACGAAACAATTTCGCCGCCATTTTGAATAAAAAATTCACTCGCCTTCATGATTTTCACAACCGTTTTTTTTTTTTTTTTTTTTGGCGTAGGGTGGCAGGATGGAAGCAAAAAAAACATCCCCTTCTATACAATGCTCTACACATCGGAGATCAACTCGTGAACGTCGGCGGTACGACGGTGAGAAATTCATCGGAAGCGCAAAAAGTCATACGGAATTCAACTTGTCTCTACATAGATTTCATAATAAAACGAGTGCCCTACGGTAACGTATTCGCACTCCAACGTCAATCGGAGGGTCAGAGTTTGGGTATCGTTCAAGAGGGTAACACGGCGGAAATAAAAGAGATACTACCCAACAGCATAGCCGCGAGACAGGGATTGACGTCGAAAACTCCTTCCCCGTACGGTTCGTCGCTCACGACGTGGTTCCTCACGGAAATCAACGGACGACCCCTAAATTTGTTCTTCAAGGACAACGAAGTGAAGGACAGGCTCAACGCGGTCGGAAAGGAGATATCCGTACTCGTTCAACCCAAGGATTTCATAAAGCAAATCAAAAGACAATTGAAAAGCATGACAGGATACAAGGACTACATTGTGCAGTGATGGGAGGAACGCACACCCGCACACCCACCCACCCGCATGCATGCATGCATACTACCCGAGTCTGTCTCTCTCTCTCTCTCTCTCTCTCTCTCTCTCATTAATTTTTTTTCGTTTGTCAACACAAACCACGTGGCGTTTGTTAAAAGTTGGTATGAATCATTTAATAATAATAGTAATAATCGTGTTTATCGTCGTGAATTTTCATTGAGTGTTTTTGTTTGTTTGTTTGTTTGTTTGTTTGTTTGTCTGATTGTTTGTTTTGTTGAGTCAGAGTTTGTCGTTGGTTTTTTTTTTTTTTTTTTTTTATATATATTGATGTGATTGATTGATTGGTTTTCGTCGTAACTAGTCTTTGTAAAAACAAAAAAATAATGATGATGATTTTTAATTTTTTTTTTTTTAAATGGTTCCTAGTCGGTTAGTTGTCACTCGAACCGTTTGTTTCTTTGTTTGTTTGTTTGTTTGTTCGTTCGTTCTTTGAATTATATCGAGTCGAGTCGTTGTTTTCTTTTTTTTTTTTTTTTTTTTTTTTCTATTTCATCGAAGTCGAATTCGGGAGTAAAGGAAAAAATAAAAAAAAAAAAAAAATGTCGAGGTTCTCCTAATAATAGTAATAATAATAATAATAATAAAGCGGAAGTCGAGTATGGTTGAAAGATTTCAATTTGGTAAAAAGAATTTCGGCGTTTCGTAACCTTGATTTTCTTTTTTTTTGTGTTTGTTTGTTCGTTTGTTCGTTTGTTCGTTTGTTTTGTTCACGGTTAAGTGAGATAAGTGGATTGTACGAAATTTTTTTTTTTGCGCGCGCGAATGAGGCCCTCCGGGGTTTTCGGAAAGGCGAGGTCGTCCTTGATTTTAAAAAAATTGTTCAGTCACCGAATGAAATGAATTTTTTAATTGTAAAGAGAATGTTTTTCGCACTTTAAAGATTTTTGTCTTTTTCTTTTGTTTGTCGTTGTTGTTGTTGTTGTTGTTATTGTTTTACGCAAATTACAAAGTTCACTTTTGTTCGAGATAAATCGAGGTATCGAATGAAATGACGACGGAGAATAAAAAAGGAAGGAGGAAGAGGAGGAGGAAAAGGATGAGGATTAGTCTTATGATTTTAATTAGTCATTCGGTGATTGATTGAAAAAAAAAAAAAAAAGAGGGAATGAAGGAGGAGGAAAAGAATGATTCGATTCACTCATTCATTCATTCTTTGCGTTTTTTTTGTAATTCCAACGTCGAGGGTTTCGTTTGAAATATTTTTCGTTTATTTTTTTCTTCCCATTATTATTACTATTATTTGAAAATAATAGAAAGAAAGGAGAAGACAATAATTATGGGGAGTAGGAAAAGGTGAAGGTGGGGGGGGGGGTATTCTCACGACAGGAAAGTGTTTGTCACGATGATAATAATAATATTTGCAAAAGAGGTTTTTAACTCTTAAAAAAAGTTAAATGTTTTTGTTTGTTCTTTTTTTTTTTTTTTTTTTTTTTGAATTTGTTTTTTTCCTTTTTTTGTGATAGTTAAATAATGATAATGATAATAATGATGATAAAAAAACGTTTTAAATAATAGATTTAATTACTCATTTAAGTAAGTATTTGTAGATTTAAAAAAAAAAAATATGTATATTGTAATAATTGATTGTTTAGCATTATGAAATGCAAAAAAATTATTTTTATACCGTGTTTTAGACTTGTAATAATAATAATAATAATAATAATAAATAAAATAAATTTTTAAAAAAAATTTTCAAAGTTTTTCTTACGTAAACTTACCTTTTAAATCCTTTAAAATATAATAAGTAAAACCAATGCAATTGATTCTCGTTTATTTTTTTTAAAAACGCCTACATTTTTCCGTATAGGCAATTTACTTACATTTAAACATGGCAAGAAGTATAAGTAGAATTATGTAGGGGAAGTGAAAAAAAATCAGTTTTCGGTGGCGCCTTCATTTAAGTGTTTATACATTGCCACGTGCATTGATGCAATGCAAATTGCATATCCATAAATTCTAAGGTTTTTTGACATCGAAAATTTAGTGAAAAACGCGATTGAAGTATCAAGCAAACATAATATTAAAGGAGGTCTTTTCAATTTCTGCTACACTTCGTTCGTGTATCGTTTCGTCCTTGGTTTCATTCGTCCCCACCACTATATTTTTCTTATGGCGATTTAATTTATAAGGAAATTTTTTTTTTCGTTGATATTTTTCTTATGGATAGGAAATTCTTTAAAAAAAAAAAAATAAAATAAAATTATTTTAACAAAAATATTTTATATTCACAACAACAAATTAATAATTTTAACATTAACGGATTCATTATTAAACATATAACGTAGTAATAACATTACAATTTTTTTTTTTTTTAAACGAATTAAAAAAAAAAAAACCAAACCAAACACACACATGCGCGCGCACACACAAAACGTAAAATAAAATTTTTTTTTTGCTGAAAAAAATGGATAAAAGATTAACAAAAAAAAAAAAAAATATGGCGTGATAAAATAATAATCTTTTTGGATTTTGTTATTATTTTTTTTCCCTTCCCCTCCCCCTCCTCCTCCCCCTACCATTTTTATTTTTTTTTTAAAACCTTTGAAAATAAAAATGGTGTAAATTTAACAAACACGTTTCCCGTCATTTTTTTTTCTTTTTTTTTTTTTTTAAATTTAATTATCGCAAATCTCCAAAAAAAATCCCCCCTCTACTTAATACGCCCAACGCCCCCTCCTCCTTCCTACTCACCGAAACGTCGCAACGTCAAATTTTCTCTTGAAATCGAATTTGACCAATCAATCAAAGCCTCCGCGCGAGGGTGAATTTTCATCCGGGGTGGCAGCGTCGGACACTATGATTTTTCATTTCTCCACCCCCCTCTTTCCCCTTCACAACTAAAAAAAAAAAAAAAAAAAAAAATTATTATTTTTGTTTTTGTTTTAATCATCATCATTTTAAGGGAAAATCGGGAGAGGACGGGGACGAAGGGGAGAAGAAGAAGAGGGATAAAAACCGGAAGAGGAAAATAAACGGGAAAGTGAAGAGAAGAAGAAGAAGAAGAAGAAGAAGGAAGAGGAGGAAGAGAAGAAGGAGGAGGAGATTCTAGCATTACACGAGTTTTTCAAAAATTAACTTTTACACCGCGACCGACCTGCATCAGTTTGATATCGGTTGCTGTTGTTATCGGTTGGTTGTTCCTCTTCTTTTTTTTTTTCTTCCTGTTGCTGTTGTTCGATTCCGTCTTTTTTTTACGTTTATTATTAGTATTATTATTATTATTATTTTTTAATACGATCAAAGTGACGTCAAAATTTTTTGGTTGTTGTTTCTCATCAAATTTTTTTCTTTTTTTTTTTTACAAAACTTTCGGATTAATTTTGTTTTAATTGCGACTACTCGTAGTAAAAGGTTCGTTATTATTATTATTATTATTATTAATATTAATATTATTATTATCATTACCTCAATTTTTTTTTCTTCTTTTCTTTTTTCTTTTTTTTTTAAAAATCGATCGTGTCTATATATCTATTATTTATCCAAAAACCATAAAAACCTATAAAAACAAAAAAAAATCATTATTATTATTATTATTATTATTATTATTATTATCATTATCATCATCATCATCATCATCATCATCATCAAAACTTTTTTCTGGAAAAAACTTCATTAAAACTTTTTTCTTTTTTTTGAAATTTTCAATCAAATTTAAAAACTTTTTTTATTTTTTTATTTTTTTGTTTTTTTTTCTCCCTCCCCTCCCCCCACCCTCCCTCTATCAGAAAGTTTTAAACGTTTTATTATTATTATTTTTATCGTTATTATTATTATTAGTTTATCGTTTCGTCAATTTTTTTTTTTGGAAAACGTAATCGAATAAAAAAATAAAAATCACGAAGGTAGAAAATAATAAAAAATATGATTACAATTAATTAAGTTACGTGAAGAATGATAACCTTTGACCTTTGACCTTCGTCCACACCGTTCTTGAGTCATATAATAATTAACTTGTCCGATTTCTTCTCTCTCCCTCCCTCTCTCTCTCTCTCTCTCTCTTCAATTAAATATATATTTTATTTACGCTCTAAAAAAAATAATAATATTATTATTATTATTATTATCATAATCATCGACTCCATGTTTTTTTCTTTTTTTTTTTTGGGGGGGGGCGGGAAGGGAGAAATAATTATTATTTACGTAAAATTTATTTTGCGTGGAAAAGATTTCGTATGGAAAAAAAAAAAACATAAATTGAATGGGAAAACGAGAGAGTGAGAGAGAGAGAGAGAGAGAGAGAGAGAGAGATTAAGAGAGAAGTATATATAGATAGATAGCAAGAGTAAGAGAGAGAGAGAGAGAGAGAGAGATTAAGAGAGAAGTATATATAGATAGATAGCAAGAGTAAGAGAGAGAGAGAGAGAGAGAGAGAGGGAAAGCCAGAGAAATAGAGCCAGAGTAGGAGGGAGATATGAGGAGATAGAAAGATAGAGGGAGAGCCAGAGAAAGAGAGGGATTTATAAAGGTAGAAAGATAGAGAGAGTTATATATAGATAGAAAGAAAGATAGATATATATAGAGAGAGATAGATAGATAGATAGAGAGGGATAGATAGAGAGTTATATATAGATAGAAAGATAGAGAGAAAGAGAGAGATAGATAGGGATAGATAGAAAGATGGAGAGAAAGAGAGAGATTGATAGATAGATAGATAGAAAGATGAAGAGAAAGATGGAGAGAAAGAGAGAGAGAGAGATTGATAGATAGATAGATAGATAGATAGATAGATAGATAGATAGATAGATAGATAGAGAGATAGATAGATAGATAGATAGAGAGAGATAGATAGAGAGATAGATAGAGAGAGAGATAGATAGATAGATAGAGAGAGATAGATAGAAAGATGGAGAGAAAGAAAGAGATAGATAGATAAATAGATAGAAAGATAGATAGATAGATAGATAAAAAGATAGATAGAGAGAGAGAGAGATGAAAATATAAAGATAGAGTTA